AGAATTTGTGATGTCCATACCTTGTTCTAAAAGCTGTTTTAGGTGTGTCTTCATTTCTGACTTTCAATTGGTGATAACTAGATCGTAGATCAATTTTTGAGAAGAAGTTTGCCCCAACTAGTTGATCAAACAAATCATCAATTCTAGGCAAGGGATACCTGTTTTTGATTGTGACTTTGTTAAGTTCCCTGTAGTCTATACACATCCTCATTGTTCCATCTTTCTTTTTTACAAACAGAACTGGTGCTCCCCATGGTGATGTACTTGGCTTTATGGACCCTTTATCAAGCAAGTCCTTTAGCTGAGACATCAACTCTTTTAATTCAGATAGGGTTAGTCTGTAAGGAGCTTTTGCTATGGGTGCAGCCCCTGGTGTGAGTTCAATTTTGAATTCCACATCCCTGTCTGGTGGAAGACCAGACAGATCATTTGGGAAGACTTCAGGATATTCTTTGACAACAGGAATAGATTCTGGTTTTGCTATTTCTCTGATTGTATCAATCACATAGGCCAAGAATCCTTGGCACTTCTTTTTCATACAACTATGAGCCTGTGATACTGATAGAAGACTGGGATGATGATCCTGGTGATCACCCTTTATTATGACTGTTCCTTTGCTTGGAAGCTCTATTTTCACTCTCTTTTGGTTGCACAAAATGGATGCCTGGTTACTAGCTAACCAGTCCATCCCCACCACTACATCAAATTCCTTCATTGGCATTGGGAACAAACAGATGGGTAGCTTACAACCTTCAATAATGATGGCATATTCTTGGTATACAGAAGCTATAGTTTCTTGACTGTTTGCAGTCTCAACTATCAGCTTTTTATCAAGTAATATTGGGATCATGCAGGCACTTTTAGCAAATAAAGGAGATACAAATGAAAAWTTTGCACCTGAATCAAAAAGCACCTTAGCACATACTGAGTTGATTGAGAAAGTACMTGTTACCACATCTGGTGCAKCTTCTRCCTCAGTTTCAGTCATTTGGAAGGATCTGCCTTGARCTTTACCAAATCCTCCCCTATTAWCACCAGGMCTTCYTCTGTTGTTTGGAGCATTGTTTCCCAAAGTTAGTTGTGGTGGTTTYAGCTGTGGACACTTGTCTTTAACATGGTCTGGTGAATTACAATGGAAACACCTTCTGATCTGCCTACAGTAGGTTGAGGTGTGCCCAATTTCTCCAYAGTTAAAACATTTCAATGGTTCAGGTCTACAACTACCTTGATGAACCTGTTTGCATCTTGGGCAGGCTCTCTCCATCTGCCTCTGCATTGGTTTCTTGTAGAATTTAGCAGCCTTTGATCCTCTGTAGCCAGTTGATGATCCCTCCCATTTCCTCTTTTCTACAACCTTCCCTTCCTCACTCCTATTCTTATTCCTTTCAGTAACCTCTGCAGCATCAACTGCTACAGGAAAAGTGGTAGGATTCATAGCAATCACCAATTCTCTTATTGAGGGCTTAAGTCCCCAAATATACCTCTCCACTTTCCTTGCTTCAGTAGCAATATAATGTTCARYAAACCTGGAGAATTCAATAAACCTTTCTGTGTAGGCTCTGACTGCCCCAAAGCCCTGCTCCAGCTTGAGGAAATCTTCCTCCATTTGCCTGATTGCTGTTTTAGGACATAATTGCTCTTTAAATCTATTCACAAACTCTGTCCAAGATAGGTTCTGCAGCATATCTGGTCTGGCCAAAGACTCCACTTCCCACCAGAACATAGCATTAGACTTCAACATAGCAACAGCAAATCTAACTTTATCAGCCTCTGGACATCTAATAGTATTGAAGACAAATTCAATTTCCTTGATCCAATGTAATGCTTTTATTGGATCTCTTTCTCCAGAAAAAGTTGGGGGTTTGCAGGTGAGAAACATCTTTATATCCCCTTCTCTAACATGAGATGTTGCTGGTACAGTAAGAATTTCCTCCACCCTTTCTATTTCTAATCTGGCAGGCATTCTTAAAATGGAAGTCAAGGTTTCCCTTAGCTTCCCCATCTCTTCAGCCAACATACTCTTGGTCACAACCTCTTCTTCAGGCACAAATTCTGGATTGTTACCTCCAGAAATAGATTTTGCCTGTTCAAAAGGAAACTCTGTCTGGTTGTTGCTTTCTCTGGCTTGACTTCTGCCACTT